AAATTAGTTTTTTCTTTATTTTATTGCAAATCTCGAAAATATCAAATTGGAGCTTTTGCATGAATTTTTCATTTGAGTTTTAATGAAATTAACATATTATTTTTATTTTAACTTTATTTTTTTTTTATTTACAAAAACAGTACTTATACAACAATTTCTTTTCAATAAGATTTTTATTAAAAACTCAAGTTACACCAAATGACACTAAAGCAAGTGACTCTTGATTGGGGGAGGATGACTCACATTCAAGACTCTCTCCCATTAATGGTGCAACACTTTTCCAATTATTAAAACATTTTTATTTGTTTAATTGCTTGGAAATCTTATTTTATAGTTTGGTCAATATTAAATTATAAAATAGAGATTATTGAATGAGGAAATGATTCTTAATATTAAAAAATTTACTTTCATTTAATAATTAATATAATATAATTTAATGTAATTCTAACTGTACAATACTTTTTCATAATTTTATTAATCTTAAAATTAAAGAAAAAACGAGTTTATCCTTGCTTTTTCTTTTTCCTTTTTTTAAATAAAAGGTTTTGCCTTTACATCAAATATATGATACACTAATCTCTCCACAACTAAGATCTTACCTCTAGTGAAAACAAGATTGAAAAGAAAAAAAGGAATGTATGTTATAAATATAATAACTATATATAGTTTATGATATCTAATAAAAGCAAAAAATACACACCATCATAAAAATTTTACTAAAACTTTCATAGATAGTTTGTGCAAGTAAATCTTCTAAGCAATCACATGTGATTTGGTAATGTAAATATTTTTCCAAAATTAACATTCACTTCATTCATCCTATTTATTAATCAACGACATCGTTTTGAAAGACTCTAAGCAATTATAAGTAAAAAAAAAAAAAGGCACATTTCAAATCCAAGACTGCCTCAATGTAAAATCTACATAACATTAGTGTGATTTGTTAGTCAAGACCACCAGATTTTGCTAATTATTACACCTTTGGTTCATTCTTTTTATAAATAGACAAAGAACAGGAGAATTGACCATAAAGAGAAAGAGATGGGAAGAAGAAAGGTAATAATCAAAAGATTGGAAGATATGAAGGCAAGGCAAGCAAAATTTTCAAAGAGAAAGACAGGTCTTATTAAGAAAGCAAAGGAAATTTCCATTCTTTGTGACGCTGATCTTGCTCTTGTCATGTTCTCCCCTACAGGAAAGCCTATATGTGTTGTTGGACAGGACAAGTATTAATTCTTCTACCCCACTTGCATGCCTTTTTTTCCTAATTAATTAAGAGTACTTTCAACATGTTTAATTCTTGTGTTTTGTTATTACAGGGATTTAGGTAGTGTTCTTCAGAGGTTATCATCTTTATCGGTGGAGGGACGACAAGAAAGGTGGGGTGACATTGGCAAATCACTTTTTTTTTTTTTTTTTTTTAATAAGTTTCCAGTTTTCTATAAAACTAAAATAATAAAATCTAGTGATCACTGTTGTATGCTCTAATGTACATAATTAAGGATATGTTCAAGTAACCATTTTCAGCAAAATGGCTACCTTTCGTTAAGTTTTTGACCTTAAAACTGTCGAGTCATAAAAAATAAATTTCCTAAGAAATTACCAACTTCAATTTACTAAACATTTTAAATATAAAAAAAATTCAAATTAACTTGAATCGTAAAATATTAATTATTATATAACGATGAATCTCAATTATAAATATCAACTCTTTCATCTAATCTAATAATTAACATTTTACAATTCAAAATACAAATATAACTCTTAAATATAAACTGCAGTTGTTCAACTAAACCTAGATTGTTGTTTCCAGAGAGTGGTAGCTTCAAAGCAACTATCTAGGATTAAGAAAAGTAATTTGTGCAAACTAAACAAACACTAATTTGTTCAACTTGGGAATTGGGATTAATGATTGATTTTTTTTTTATTTTTTGTAACTTTGTCAACAGGCGGGCCTACAGCACCAAGGTAAGTAAGACAATCTGGGTATACTACTCTTTATTTCTGTCCCATTCACCTTGTTTAACATTTCTTTTAAACTTTTCTTTGTTTGGTGTGAGAAAGTTACTGCAGAAAATATATTCAAATTCCAGCTCTGAGGTTGATCCAAGAAACTTCTCACCTGACAACAGGTAATTAAAATATTATTTTACCTCCTACTTTCTCTTTTCCTTTTTGCATCTGTAGCAGCAACTTAATCTTCTTTTTTTTTTTTCTTTTTTTTTTAGCAGAAGATCAGAAGTTCTCAAAGTATGATCCTCTACATAAAAAAAATACACGGATGTGTTTTCTTCTAATTTTTCCCTTTGAGATTTTTTTTTTTTTTTTGATAACGTACATAAACTTGCATTTACAGTTGCATGTAGGAGAATTGGCTGAACTGAAGGGAAAGTTTGCTGAGAAGAGCAAAATATTGGGGTGTGCAATGATTTAATTTTCAACTATTAGAAATTACCTAGCTTTTTCATGAAATTATTACAAGTAAAATCTCATAATTAATGTTTAGGATTAAAGACTAAAATTTTATGTTTTTTTTTTTTGTTAGGGATTGGAAGAACCCACACATGGTTGAAGACCTAGCACAAATCAAAGTCATGGAGCACCATCTTATTAGGTCTCTTAACAAACTCAAAATCCAAAAGGTATGTATTTTCATCATTCATCCTGGTTGAATTTCTGGCATTTAATAATAAGATTAATTTAGTATTGGAGATTGGAAAGGTATCAATACCTATAATTTAATGGACTAGTCTTAATTTTTAAGATAATATTACATTATGTGTATTCGATTTTATTTGTGAGTTTTGATTATTTCAATATAAAAAACTATTTTATAAGACAAATTATATACAATCCACTTTATAAAACTATTTAAATGTCTAGAATAAAATAATATAAAAACAAAATTAAAGGTATTTAAGTAATTTCACAATACAAATTGTATATAATCTATCTTATAAAATAGTTTTCTTATTTCGATATTTAATAATAAAAATTTTCAATTGTGATTTCCTACAACTCATTTTTTGTGTTTTGCAGGTTGAATTATTGGAAGAACAACAAAAGGAGCATAGAAATTTGCAGGGTGAATTACTAGAAGAACAGCATGGGGAACATAAAAATACATCCATTTAGGTTTGTTTTTTGTGCTTGTTGGTTGTTATTTAATTTTTGACCCAAAATTATGCCATGGCACATAATCATAACCAGGAGAACAGCATCATGTCAAGCAACTAACAGATGTTCTATATATCGACCTGTGCAGGCGACCGGAAACTGAAGATGCTCCTTCACAAGCAGAATGGTATATGCATATAAGCAGGGTCTTGAAGTTGGGTTCTCCAGCTTGAACTTCTTTATCTCTTTTGAGCATGTGGTTAATTTATAGTGCTCTTGGGATTTCTTTTGAAATATTTGGTTAAGGTCTTGTGGATTTGGCATTTGGCCGATGCTTGAATTTAACAATGTTTTTATGCGTGAATATATCATAGATTTCCTTTTTTGTTACATGGCTCAAAATGGTAAGAATATATGCAAATTATGCTTGGAAACACAAATTTGAGTTTTTTTATATCATGTTAAGTACAAACAATTCTAATAAATCATACTTATCATCTTAAAAGGTAAAGTTTTGCTTAATATTTATATATTAAATAATTTGTAGATTTTTATAAAATTAATTAAACCAAATACCTAAAAACTCATCGTATCATAAAAGGGATGGAAAACCCTAATCAATTTGCACTTAAGGTTAAGGCCCTATTTGGTATCCAAAAAGTTGCCTTCTGGATGAAAATAACCTTCCCCTAGAAGGCATTTATGTGTAAGGGTTACCCGAGACAAAGTTTCTTGTGTTTGGTTCCGACAAGTAGCAAACCTAAGCTAAGAAGATGCATTTTCTGTTCATAATGAGAGCAAAGAGATGTCCTGAAGGATGATGAGGCCCAGCCAAGCATTATTATACCGCTCACCCAAATAATGAGATTTTGCATCGCTGCACCCAACGCATCAGAGCCTGAAACACCAAGGCACAGCTTTTGCTCATCAAGTGTACAACTTAAAGATGAAGCCAAAATTACAGCCATAATTTCATATAGATAGTAGTACAATTGACTTCAATGATGTTCTTGATGCAAGCACCCTTTTATTTATTTTTTAAATTTTTGAACAAGGTTATAGTTTTAGAGGAGGGGAGAATCAAACTTCAATTCTCAAGCTGGAAGATGTATCATACAAGTTGATTTATGGCCGTGGAGTCGTGAGGTTCAAGTGCCCTCTTTTAATTATTTTCCTAAAGATGTCCATCTTTTCTCTTTTTTCTAAGCTACAATAATTGATACCAAATCTTTATGACTTTATCCAAGATCAACTCTACTTTCTTCCAATGCTCAATATAGTTTCAAAATGTGATTTCATTCACTGTTTTGAGATATTCCTTTATTACCCCCCCAAACTTGAGGAAGAGTTGGGCATCTGAGCTGCTCAAGGAGGGGGCAGTTGATCAAGTGTGCAGTTGTGATTTGTTGGGTGGAGTGGAGCTGGTTGGTTTGGGTTGGGTTTGGTTGTTTTGGTGGTGTGTCAGCCGGGGTGAGGCTCCCAAGGACGCGTGTCACTTCGTGCATTGTTGGCTGGTGTAATCTCCACAAACACTAATCACTAATTTTTTAAGATCTATTAGGTGCCATAATGCTATTGCAATTCTCAGTTTTTTATTTTTATTTTTAAAACTTTAAAAATTGTAAAATAAAATTAAATAATTATATAAATTAATTAATTTTGAAATTTGTGATATTTATTTCAAAATTTTATATTTAATAAATTATTATTTTTAATTTTTAGTTATTAAATTTTAAATTTTTAAAAATTAAAAATTAAAATACAATTATGCTAAACAAAAATTTAATTATTTGAATTTTTGTAACTAAAATAAAAAAATAAATAAATAAATAGAAAGGGTAACGCTACTGGCGGAACCTTAACTCTTACTAATATGTACAGTGAGGTCCACCACTTGTTATCTGTGGTCACCCGGGAGCATTGCAACGTGGTGGATTTATGCCACGGCGGAACATTTTTAATTTAACGGTACCTTAGTAGTGGTCCTAAAAGAGGA